GAGGCTGAGGCAGGCTGAGGCTGAGGCAGGCTGAGGCTGAGGGCCGAGGCTGAAGGCAGACTGAGGCTGAGGCTGAAACAGGCTGAGGCTGAGGCTGAGGCAGGCTGAGGCTGAGGCTGAGGCAGGTGAGCTGAGGCAGGCTGAGGCTGAGGCTGAGGCTGATGCAGGCTGAGGCTGAGGCAGGCTGAGGCTGAGGCCGAGGCTGCAGGCAAACTCAGGCTGAGGCTGAAGCAGGCTGAGGCTGAGGCTGAGGCAGGCTGAGGCTGAGGCTGAGGCTGAGGCTGATGCTGAGGCAGGCTGAGGCTGAGGCTGAGGCTGAGGCTGAGGCTGAGGCTGAGGCTGATGCAGGCTGAGGCTGAGGCAGGCTGAGGCTGGGGCCGAGGCCGACGGCAGACTGAGGCTGAGGCTGAAGCAGGCTGAGGCTGAGGCTGAGGCTGAGGCAGGCTGATGCTGAGGCAGGCTGAGGCTGAGGCTGAGGCTGATGCAGGGTGAGGCTGAGGCAGGCTGAGGCTGAGGCCGAGGCTGAAGGCAGACTGAGGCTGAGGCTGAAGCAGGCTGAGGGCGAGGCTGAGGCAGGCTGAGGCTGATGCAGGCTGAGGGTGAGGCTGAGGCAGGCTGAGGCCGAGGCTGAAGGCAGACTGATGTTGAGGCTGAAGCAGGCTGAGGGCGAGGCTGAGGCAGGCTGAGGCTGAGGTTGAGGCAGGCTGAGGCTGAGGCTGTGACTGCGACTGCTGTTGCCACTGCGACTGCCATCGCGAATGCGACCACGACTGCGAGAACAGCAGAATTCTACAACAGGATTCTTATCTGAATCTTAAGGGGAATGCTTCCAGATATGCTCCTACACATCGCTGTTAGGTTTCTTTGCCGGAATAATTTTATATCTATATATACACACACATACATGTCTACAAGAATCTTCAGCCCCCCGCGGCTTCGGGCGAAACTGTCGAGAGACGCGGGCGACGCGGCATGCTGCTGTGCAGGGGTTCGGGCGTGTTGTTTTCCGCGTTGTAGCGTGCCGACTCGGGGCGCTCCTGAACACACCACGTAAAAATATTACACAGAATGCCCCCGTCGCCCGCGTCTCACGCCAATTCCGCTCGAAACCGCGGCTCCCCGCGGCCTCGGGCGAGCGTGACGTGAGACGCGACGCGGTTGACGCGAGGCTTGGGCGTCGTTGTTTGCTGCGTGGTTGCGCGCCGACTCGGGGCGCTCCTGTAAACACTACGAAAAATTCTACGCAGAATGCCCTCATCGCCCGCGCCTCGCGCCAGTTCCGCCCCAATCCGCAGCTCCCCGCGGCCTCGGGCGAAAGTGGCGAGAGACGCGGGCGACGCGGCATGCTGCTGCGCAGGGGCTTGTCTGGAATATTCAGGAATCCTCCGGAACCCTGAGGAATCCGAAGGAATCCTAAGGAATCCTGAGGAATCCTCAAGGATCCATAGTAATCCTCAGGAATCCTCAAGAATCCTGAGGGAATCCTCAGGAATCCTCAGGGATCCTGAGGAATCCGCAGGACCGTCAGGAATCCTGAGGAGTCCTTAAGAATCCTTCCTCCGGATTCTTGAGGACTCCTCAGCAACCCTCAAGAATCCTCAGGAATCCGGAGGAATCCGCAGGACTCTTCAGGAATCTTCAAGAATCCAAAGTAATCCTCAGGAATCCTCAAACATCCTGAAGGAATCCTGAGGAATCCTTCGGAATCCAAAGGAATCCTCAAGAATCCTGAGGGAGTCCTAAGGAATCCTCAGGAATCTCCTGCCTGAGGAATCCTCAAGAATCCTAAGGGAATCCGGAGGACTCCTCAGGAATCCTGAAGAATCCGAAGTAATCCTGACGAATCCTCAAAAATCCTGAAGGAATCCTCAGAAATCCTGAGGAATCCTGCCTGCGGAATGCCATGCAAAGCAATTCTTGGGGAATCCTGAGGAAACCCTAGAATTGCATGGGCACCAAGGACTTCCAAAAGCGGAGCATGGACGCCGGATTCCCCTAGTAGTAGTAGTAGTAGTAGTAGTAGTAGTAGTAGTAGTAGTAGTAGTAGTAGTAGTAGTAGTAGTAGTAGTAGTAGTAGGTAGTAGTAGTAGTAGTAGTAGTAGTAGTAGTAGTAGTAGTAGTAGTAGTAGTAGTAGTAGTAGTAGTAGTAGTAGTAGTAGTATAGTACAGTTAGCACAGTCGTCGTCGGTCGTAGTAGTATCGTAGTCGTAGACGTAGTCGTAGTCGTCATAGTCGTAGACGTCAGTCGTAGTCCGTAAGTAGCCGTCACATTCGTAGTAGTAGTAGTAAGTAGTAGTAGTAGCAGCAGCAGCCCCAGTGTAGTAGTAGTAGTAGTATTATAGTAGTAGTAGTAGTAGTAGTAGTAGTAGTAGTAGTAGTAGTCGTAGTAGTAGTAGTAGTAGTAGTAGTAGGAGTAGTAATATTAGTAGTAATAATAGTGGTAGTAGTAGTAGTAGTAGTAGTAGTAGTAGTAGTAGTAGCAGTAGTAATAGTAGTAGTTGTAGTAGTAGTAGTAGTAGTAGAAGTGGTACTGGTAGTGGTAGTAGTCGTCGCAGTCGCAGTCGCAGTCGCAGTCGCAGCAGTAGTCGTAGTCGTAGTAGTAGTAGTAGTAGTAGTAGTAGTAGTAGTAGTAGTAGTAGTAGTAGTAGTAGTAGTAGTAGTAGTAGTAGTAGTAGTAGGAGTAGTACTAGTACGAGTAGTAGTAGCAGTGGTAGTAGTAGTAGTAGTAGTAGTAGTAGTAGTAACAGTAACAGTAACAGTAACAGTAACAGTAGTAGTAGTAGTAGTAGCAGTAGTAGTAGTAGTAGTAGTAGTGGTAGTATTAGTAGTAGTAGTAAGTAGCAGGTAGTAGTAGTAGTAGTAGTAGTAGTAGTAGCAGTAGTAGTAGTAGTAGGAGTAGATGTAATAGTAGTAGTAGTAGTTGTCGTAGTAGTCGTAGTCGTAATCGTAGTCGCAGTTGTAGAACGAGTACTATTAGTAGCAGTGGTAGTAGCAGCAGTAGTTGTTTTTGCTGTGTGAGTGGTACTAGTAGTAGTAGTAGTAGTACTACTACTACTACTACTACTACTACTACTACTACTACTACTAGTCCTAATAGTAGTAGTAGCAGTAGTAGTAGTAGTCGTAGTAGTAGTCGTAGTAGTAGTAGACGCAGTACTCGCAACAGTAGTAGAAGTAGTAGTCGTAGTAGTAGTAGTAGTAGTAGTAGAAGAAAACGCTGGCGTCGTCGTTGTCGTCGTCGTAGTCCTCGTTATAGTAGTAGCAGTAGTAGTAGCATTGGTAGTTGTAGTAGTAGTAGTAGTAGTAGTAGCAGTAGTAGTAGAAGTAGTAGTAGTCGTAGTCGTAGCCGCAGTAGTAGTAACAGTAGTAGTTGCTGTTGTTGTAGTATTGTAGTCGTAGTAGGAGGAGTAAGTGTAGTAGTAGGTGGAGTAAGTGTAGTAGTTGCAGTTGAAGTTGAAGTTGTAGCAGTAGCAGCAGCAGCAGTAGAAGTAGCACGAGTGGTAGCATTGCTACTGAGACCAATTGTAAGAATGCAACTACGTCTACGAATATTGCGAAGGCCTTACGGCCGGTGCCGCCGACCCTGAAGGGGAACGACGAGAACGGCTGCGGCGGCGACGACGACGACGACCCTGACGTGGGTCAGAGTCCTCATGGATGCTTCTTGGAGTCTCTTCGAAGCGCTCTCGGGGGCCGCTGGGGGACAGTTCAGGGGCCTCTTGGGAGCCTCTTGGGGCCTCTTGGGAGCCTATTGGGGGCCTCTCGGGGCGTCTTGGGGGCCTCTTGGGGACCTCTTGGGGCCTCTTGGGGGCCTTTGGGGGGCCTCTTGGTTCCTCCTGGGAGCCTCTCGGGGCCAAGGGCTCGAAATGTCCGTTCTGTTCCGTCTTCTGGGCACCCTCTTGCAGCCGTCTTGGAAGCCTCTGGGGGCCCTCTTGGGCCGTTTTCGGTCCCTCTGGGAGCCTTCTTGGGCCAACTTGGGGCGATCTGGGGGGCCGTCTTGGAGCGTCGGGAAGCGGGAGAGGCGAGAACGCCGAAATGCATTCACCATTTTGGGAGTGTTCCTGGAGGCCTCTTGGGGCGTCTTGCAGGGCTCTTTGGCCGTCTGGAGGCCGTGAAGGCGTCTTGGACAGATCGTTCGGCGATTGGGGGCCCTCTTGGACCGTCTTGGGGGCCTCTTGGGGCACTCTTGGCCCGTCTTGGGGCTTTCTTTGGCCCCGGGACCCCCTGGGGAGGAGTCGCATCTGGACCCCCCCCAGGACCCCCCCCGCCTCCAGGCGGGGGAGGGATCAAAGGGAAGGGGCTTCCCTTCAAGTCAATTTCGACGTTGCTCGATTTCGCTTTGGTTGGCGCGCTTGAGGAGGAGGTCCGAGGGAAGGGGGAGCGGAGCGACGACGGGCCCAGCGGTTTAGCGCTTGAGGAGGAGGGCCCAGGGAAAGGGGGGAAGCGGCGACGGGCCCAGCGAAAGGGGGGGCGCAGGGAAAGGGGAAAACAGAGGACGACGAACGAATGACGGAGACGACGACTCGAACGGACAAGCCCCTCACACACGTTTCCGTCGGCGGCTAGGCAAAGTGATTGCGCTGGCGGAAAAGCAAAAGTAGGACATACCAATGCGAATTGGACCGCGACAAGCCCCTCACACACGCCGACCAGGTCGGCGGATTACTACTGCTAGAACTAATAGACGGCTCTGGCTACGACTGTTACTACGACGACTAATACCATTGCGACGATCCAAGAATCAAACCTGACGGTTATTAACACAGTTTGGTACCACTGTGAGTACGAGTATTAGTTACCATTAGTAGCACTAGCAGTAGCCGCCGTTGTAGTACATGCCGTAGGTGTATCAGTTCCAGTAGAATGGAAGTATGAGTGCAAACGTGATCAGAAAAGTGCAAGAAGAAGGAGAGCAGGGAGGAGGAGGAGGAGCAGGGAGCAGGGAGGAAGAGGAGCAGGAGGAGGAGGAGGAGGAGGAGGAGGAGCAGGGAGGAGGAGAGCGGAGGTTCCTGCCGGACGGCAGTTACGAGGACTGGCGGCTCTCCGACTTCGCGTGGTGACCCCTGCAGGGGTGCCCGCGCGCGGTCGCCGCGCGTGCCGCCGCGCGCCCCGCGAGGGGGCGAGGACGGCACGACGGCGACCAGCGGGCGAAAAAGTTGCATCGTGCCCCGTTCTGTCCAGGAGGAGGAGGAGGAGGAGGAGGAGGAGGAGGAGGAGGAGGCCGACGACGGCGACGGCGACGACGACGACGACGAGGACGACGGCGATGACGTCGACGACGACGACACAAGAACGAGGACAAGGACGAGGACGGGGGGAGGAGGAAGAGAGGGGGAGGAGGAGGAGGAGGGAAGAGGAGGAGGAGGGGGAGGAGGAGGAGGAGGAGAAGGAGGAGGAGTGAGGGAGGGAATGAGGGAGGGAGTGAGGGAAGGAAGAGAGAGGAGGAGGAGGAGGAGGACGACGAGGACGAGGACGAGGACGAGGACGAGGGAGGAGGGATGAGGGAGGAGGGAGGAGGAGGGAGGAGGGAGGAGGGAGGGGGAGGAGGAGGAGGAGGAGGAGGAGGAGGAGGAGGAGGAGGAGGAGGAGGAGGGGGAGGACGAGGAGGAGGAGAAGGAGAAGGAGGAGGAGGAGCAGAAGGAGAAGGAGAAGGCGGAGAAGGAGACCCAGATCTCCTGCGGTGCGGTCGGGAGCGTTGGCTGCGCGTGTCCCAGTACGCTTCTGCGCGACGCGCTGAGCACTTGCCAGTGACCCGGCGTGCAGCCAAGGCGCTGAAGTGCGGAACAGTTTGGGTGCGGAAGGGGCCCGACGTTCCTTGGGTCCTGCCATGGCTGTTCCTCTAGCCCTCCTCGCGCACGCGGGCGCTGCTGGGGCCACAGGAGGGGCATCGTTCCTCAGTTCGGCGGCCCGACCGTAGGCGTTCCGAGCTTCCCCCAGGCCCTTGCCCCTCGGAACGGAGCGACACGCCATCAGCTCGCATGGCATGGCGTGCCTCCAGAGCCGCCGCCGCGGCACGCGGAGCACAAGCTCCCCCACCGCAGGATGTTCTCCATCCCGACGTGGTTCTTCGGCCTGGGCCCCCCGTGGTCCAGGAGGAGGAGGAGGACGAGGAGGACGAGGAGGACGAGGAGGACGAGGAGGGAGGGAGGGAGGGAGGGAGGGAGGAGGAGGAGGAGAAGGAGGAGCAGGAGGAGGAGGCGAGAGCCATGCCAACATGGAAGGGGTCGTCGGGACCGCCCGGAGGGCCGCGCGTGGAAAAGGCGATCAGATCGGAGGATGTCTGGGGAGAGGCATCAGGCCCAGACCTCCAGAGCCCGAGGGTTTTCTGATGTGTTGTTTATTTGTTATCTCTCTCTCCCTCTCTCTCCCTCTCCCTCTCTCTCTCCCTCTCTCTCTCTCTCTCTCTCTCCCTCTCTCTCTCTCTCTCTCTCTCTCTTTCTATATATATGTCTCTTTTGTTGATATCTCTCTCTCTCCCTCTCTCTCTTTTCTTTATATCTCTCTCTCTCTCTCTCTCTCTCCTTCTCTCTCTCTCTCTCTCTCTTTCTCTCTCTCTGGGCGTCAGTCCGCGGGCCCTGGATCGACAGGGCTGGGGCCCAGAGGCTCGAAAAATACTGGGGGCGTCGAGGTCCAGGAAGGGAGCGAGGGAGGGAGAGCTCCCTGTGCCGTCTCGGGGGGCCAAAACGCGGGGTAGTCGATTGCCTCCTCCTCGTCATCATCATCATCGTCCTCCTCCTCATGCTCCTCCTCCTCCTCTTTCCTCATCCCTCCTACTTCCCTCCTCCCTCCTTCCTCCGCCCTCCGACTTTCCCTCCTCCTCCCTCCTCCTCCTCCTCCTCCTCCCTCCCTCCTCTCCTCCTCCTCCTCCTCCTCCTCCTCCTCCTCCTCCTCCTCCTCCTCTCCTCCTCCTCCTCCTCCTCCTCCCTCCTCCGTAGCCATTTTGGCTCAAGCCTTTCCGTAGGCCCCCCGCTCCTGGACCTTGTCCCCAGCCGTACCCCGCGACCCCAGGTTCACGGGGCAACGCTGGCGGGCGGGGGGGACTTGGGGGAGCGGGGCTTCTGGCTCACGGAGCATGGCGCGGGACGGGTCCCTCTCTGGGGCTCGTGGTAGGACCCGGGCGGAGCGCTCTGCTGCGGCGTGGCGGGCCCGGGAGGCGGCGGATGGAGCCATCGCCAAGCTCCAGGCCAAGCTCGACGAGGCGCACGGCCTCGTCTCGGCGCTGGAGGAGGATGCCGAAGCTTTCTTTCTCGGAGGGCAAGGAGGCCGCTGCGATGAGTTGCGACGTCGTCTTCGGCTGATCGTGCCTGTCCTGGCAGCTGGCCTCGCAGGGGTGCGGGCCCCTGGCACCGCCAGAGCCAAGCGCAACCTGGCGTCGCACGCCTTCGACGTCCCCGTGGCGGTCATCGAGGGCGCCTCGCAGACGGCGCTCAACAGGCTCCAGCGCGAGGGTCTGGCGGCCATAGAGACCACGGCAGCGCCCTCGGCTCTCTGCAACGACGTCCCCGCTTTCTGTTTGGGGCTGGGACGCTGGGAGCCGACGGAATCCCACCAATCCGTCGGCACGCGGTGCACATGCGGGGCGGTCGCATTCTCGTCGAGCACGGCTGAATGCGCTGGGGTGCCGCGCGGCACGGGGACGCCTCGAGCTGCAGCACGGTCGAGCGCGCTCCGCGCCGAGGCGGAGTGCTTCCAGCAATCTGAGCCTTGGTCGCACGACGCCAGAGAGTACGAGGTGACCGAGGAGCCCTACGCCCAGCCCGACGCCCAGCCCGACGCGGAGCTTTCGCAGACCGACGCCGAGTTCGTGCAGGGCTCGGTGCAGGAGCTGGGAACCGCGGGCGAAGAGGGTCGAGGAGGAGGTGTACGAGGAGTCCCCTTCTCTTTCGCCCCTGGTTCGTTTCGCCAGGGTGGTGTAGATCTCGATAGTGAAGATCAGAGTGCTGGTGCTTGCGGTTATCGAGATCGCCGAGGTCTCTCCACGAAGAGCCGCAAGAATGATGTGGTTCGTCGCAGCCCTGTGTATTTCGATCCTGGCCTGAAGGTACCGCAGGGCGCAGTTTCGCAGGCTTCTGGCATCGGCCCCCCGCAGGAGGCGGAATGCAAGCAGCAGTGATGTTATCCCTCCTGCTTATGTGTGGCAGCTGTACTTCGTGCTCCACGTGCCGTTCGGCTACTTCCTCGCGGTCTTCGTGTCGCTCGAGGGCGCGCTGCACTTCTGAGTCTCGAGCCCCGGGCTCGTCAGAGTTGTTGATGTCAAAAGGAGCTGCTCGCGTTAGGTCTGCGGGGTCTGTCGGCTCCGTCTGTCCTCGGTCCCTGGGGTGCCCGTCGTGCGCGTCGGCCACCGCCTTGGTCCGCTGCCGCCAGCTTTTGTCTCAGCCCAGGCTGTTTCAATCTGTCGGCCCTCACCTCTCTCTGCGGTTGATGTTGAAAACTCCTCCTCGTCCTCGTCCTCATCTTCCTCCTCCCCGCCCTCCCTCCTCCTCCTCCTCCTCCTCCTCCTCCTCCTCCTCCTCCTCCTCCTCCTCCTCCTCCTCCTCCCCCTCCTCCTCCTCCTCCTCCTCCTCCTCCTCCTTCCCTCGGTCTTCCTCCCCCGTGCGCATCCGACAGCTGGCGCGGGGGAGGAGGCAAGCCGAGGGGAGAGAGCGTAAGGGGAGAGCAGACGCAGCCTCCAGAGCGGGGTACGTAATCAAAGGATGCTTCCTCCTGATCTTGTTCCTTCTTCTCCTCGGCCTCCTCCTTTCCCCTCCTCCTTCTCCTCCCCCTCAGCATCTCCTCTGTTCACCCCGCTTACTGGAGTCCCCGAGAAGGCATACTCAAGGCACCTTCGGAAGTACAGTCGAAATGCACCCCTGGAGAGGTACGGGGATCGCTCTTGAATAGGAGAAGTAAGAGTTGCGCCCATAATTTTGAATCGTCCAGAGGCCTCCGGATGCTTCCGAGGACTTTGGGGGACCTGGGGGGGAGGAAGGGGGGAAGCCGTTCAAGGAGGGAGGGAGGGATCTTTCATTGCCGTCCAGCATCGCTGCACCCCCCTTCTGTCTTGACCGAAGGTCATCAAAAAGCTCTTCGACGCCATCGACGAAAATAAGGCCAGCATCCCGCCTTTCTGACGCGCTCGCCTGCCGCCGTGTATTGATGTTATATATGTTATATGCCATTTTTCTCTATGTCTTGCCCTCTCTCTCTCTATAGATGTATATAAGTATATCAAATAGATATGTGTATATACATATATATATATATGTATGGATTCCTCTCTCTCTCTCTCTCTTTCCTTGTATCCCTCTCTCTCTCTCTCTCTCTCTCTCTATGTATCATTCCTTCTCTCTTTGTATAAATGTATCGCTCTCTGTGCTTTATAAACTTGCATGCGCACAGTTACACGCGCATACCTCTACATACACAGATATGTACGTAAACATGCATGTGTGTAAACCGAAATGTGTATACATCTGTGTGTACACACATCTTGGCGATCAGCGAGATAGCCGCTCGATTGTGCAGTGGATGAGCCATCCCCAGTACGCACCCACGTGAGCTCACGCAATGCATTACAGTCAAAGCTATGGGATCAGGAACACGGTGGTGGCGCATTGGGCTCGAGACTCCCGCGGTCACTGCCTGTGTCTTTCCTCCTGAGCTTCTCCGTCGCCATCCCACACCTCGGGCGACTCGACCTGTTCTGATTAGTTCCCGGCCCCATCACTGCCTGACTCTTCCCAGGGCCTAGGTTCAGCCGCGCGGCCCCCACAAGGAGGAGGAGGATGAGGAGGAGGCGGAGAGGAGGGGCAGTAGGACGAGGAGGAGGAGGAGGAGAGGAGGAGGAGGAGGAGAGGAAGAGGAGGAGGAGGAGGAGGGGGAGGGGGAGGAGGGAGGGGGAGGAGGAGGAAGGAGGAGGATGGAGGAGGAGGAGGAGGAGGAGGAGGACGAGGAGGACGAGGGAGGAGGAGGAGGAGGAGGAGGACTGGAAGTTCATCATGGGCAGGTTTGAAGGTCCAGGGTCCCGGAAGCGGCCTCCAGGCGCTTGGCTCGGGGGCGGCCAAGAGGGGAATTGATGATTGGGGGGTGCGAGGCAGGGCCCCGCCCTACCGACACGCATCGGGGTGCGACAGGGGGGAGTTTTTCGCAAGCACAAGGAATTGAGGAGGAGGA